ACCTTGAAGTGTAAACTTGTTTAATAAACCATATCTTTCATTTTCGATTTTTAATTCACGTAGTCCGGGAACTTTCCGGACAAACTGTGTATGTTTAAAATGGACTGGACGGGCGTATAAATATAAATCGAATTTATATAGCGCATGTAAATTCGCTGAACGGTAAATATATAAGCAACTAATATCGCTACAATTTAGTTTTAAAATACATATATTAGATAAATATAGTCTTCGCAGTATTATATTCTTGTATTTGTGTAATCTCTCTAATCAAAATAATCTTTTCTTTTTGTAGTCATTATTTTAGAATATACACACGTTATTAATCGGCCTCTTGTTAGTGCTTTAAAAAGCTACGTACATAAAGTAATTTTTAATTCGTATAATGAAGTCTCTCTGATTAATATAATAATCAGGACTGATGGAAATTGAGCTAATGACAAACACGTAACATTGATCGGTAATAGTGTTTATCCTATCGGAACCATGCATATAATTGGGATATAGTTTTGGTGTTCACCGAATCAAGTTGTGAACCTTCTTGCTTCTCGCGAAACAATTCTTTCAAGTAATCTCATTTTTATTTTGTTTAAAATCGAGAACGATATTACTCGATAGATAGACGTCTTTTATTGCGTTAGAGCAATATTGTTTTTGTCTTTTGTGTCTTACTGCTTCATCAAATTTTCGACTCTTTGCTTTTAATTCGATCATACGCTACCAAGCGTAAGAATCCAAGTGCACCTAAGTGCCCTTTGATACCACTCTGCTCCGGAATTTCTTTCGCTTTGTAAAATGCAACAGTCAGAAAACGATCCGAGTCGTGATCACGCTGTATCTGATGCACCTACGCAGAAAGACGGTCCAGTTTCGTTTGTCTCTGTCCTCTTCCTAGGACGCGGGCGTGGGACTCGCGGTTGGCGGTACTGTCGCGCTGTTGTTTGCGGATTGCTTCGCGCGTCTTCTTTTGTTCAACAGGGGATTATTTGTGTGATCGAGTTGCTTCAGACACGCCGTGTCGTAATCAACGCGCATTGTCGCAAGGGATCGCGTCATTTCTTCCTGCACTTCGGGCCACATCTCCTCTCCCTCTCGTAAAACGCGTCCGGTGTGCAAGGGAGTTGCGGGCACTTCCATGTACTTCTATATATGAGAAACAGTGTCTCAAAAAAAAATAGAAAGATACGAGAAAACTTAAGAAATAATATTATATGTTAGACAATGTTCTTACAGAGATCCAGTTGTTGCGCATTACGTCGTCAATTTGCAATCTTTCTGCTGGATTTATACACAACATGCCCTTAATAAGGCTCTTAGCTTCTTGACTCACATTCGCCCATTCTGGATAGGGAAAGTCGTATTGTCCTAATCGAATTCTCTTTTTCATTCCGGGAGAGATCGCTAGGCCGTGGTTGCTGTAAAACGGTGGGAAACCGCACAGCCTAAAAATAGTTGTAAATAACGCCATAAAGTTTCTTTGTAATGTGTGTGTATATGTGCTTTCTATAATTTATTAATCTCTTCCAATGTGTGTATATAAAAATATATACTCACAATATGTACATGATTACTCCAAGTGACCAAATATCACAACTCTTGTCGTACTTTTCTGGTCCTAACACTTCTGGGGCTAATAAACCAAAAAAAAAAAAAAAAATGAGAAAAAAATAATTCAAATTCAACATTAATAATTGTACCGTGAAATATGCAAACTTACCGACATAATAAGGCGTGTAACATGGCGTCTGTAATGTGTCTTTTAAATATGTCTCTTTAGCAAACCCGAAGTCGGTGAGTTTCAGGATCCCGGTAGCATCTAAAAAGCAATATATTAATAAAGCAATAAATAATCTAATAGCAAATAATTTGTTTTAATATTTTATGTCATATATATGTTAGAAAGAATATTGTATTTACAAACACATAATTTTCAAGAAAGGTCCACATATAGATAATACTGATGTTTAACTCAGATCTACGCAATCTAAACCGATAATAACGTTTTTATATTAGAAAAGAAAGCAAATGTACATGATGTATTATTGTTGAAATAAAAACAAACTTTGTATAACTCACCAGGCTTAGAATATAGAAGATTTTCCGGTTTTAGATCCCTGTGAGTGATATTCATGTCGTGCAGATGTTTCACCGCGACACATATCTCGTACATCACTTGTGCAGCTTCTGCAAAACGTATACGGGTTTATAGTAAGTCTTGAAAATAGTGATACTAAATAGCGATTTAGAAAGCAAAGCCGTACCTCTTTCGGTAAAGGCACCATCTTGTCTGTCTTGTATCCTTTGAAATAATTCTCCACCTTCCATGCTGAAAGAAATCAATTAAAAGCGAATTTAAAGAATCTGCTATGTGAATAGGCTGATATTAAAAAAAAGAGTATTGGTTTACGTAACACGTACCATTCCATAACCACTAGCAGACATTTATTCCCACTGTAAGTGTTTTCGTATACATCTTTGACTTGGACTATGTGTCTGCAATCTGATGCCCTCCAGTGAAGTTCAACTTCTCTTCGCGCTTTTGCACAGTCATGCAAGACCTGCGAAGAATGTTACCGCTCAGCACGAAATTGCTTAAAATTTCATTCTTTACTAAAAACTAGAAACAAATATTGTTCTTCTAGACACTTTTTTACTCAAGAACAATAAATTAAATTTATAAATTATTAAAATGTGCACCGTATGAAGAAAACTAATTTAATTTTTAATGTAACATGTGGATTGTGTGTTTTCGTGTTGAACGCATTTTATATATAAGTGAAAATTAATCGAGCGACTCCGAGTACGCGATAAATGACTCGCACAATGACGTACAAAATAATCGCTCGATGTGTTCGTATCAGTATCTCACATCACGTTTCAGATACATGCAAATCATCGTAATCAGGTACAAAGAGAATTGACTCATACGGCTCGTCGCAACTGTGTGTGCGTTCATCGCGCGAAATTCATGTCATTGTGAGATTTCCTAGATAATTTTCCTAGATAAATGCTTCTTTTTATATCCGGATCTCTCGACGGTTTCACAATGAAACACGCACACAGCGATTTACATAACTGTGATAACAAACGGAAACTTGCTATCGTCGAAATTTTAGAAACACACGCGATTAATCGACACGTCAAAAAATAAATTAAAACTCAGAAGATATACGCAAAGATCACGATAAAGTTCACGTGAAGACGGTGATAAATCAATTAAGACCACAGTTTTTTACACTCAACGTTACATCTTAAGTTTTAATTAAAATTCTAAGAAAACGAATCGACGCAAATTAAAGTGTCGATGCAATTTTTTGACACTTAATGTATTTTTTTTCTTAAATCGTTTCTTAAATGTTCTAAAAATTAATTTGCAGACAATTAATTACGAGTTTCAAGTTTCTCACCAACTATAAATTGAATATTCATGATTTCGGAGATACGTGTTTAATCACAGTTATATACAGTATGTAAAGTAAGAGCGTGTACGGCATAAATGGCAGTTGGCTTCAAATATCGTCCTAGTTTTTTTGTGAGTCNATAGATGGAACCTTTGTCGTGAATGCTTTGTCACAAAAGATTTAGTTGGTGTCGAATTCTTATCTGAGAAACACGTTAACCGCCATGAGTGCCGCATACGCATCGCGCTACGAGGCTGTGTTCCTTTGTTCCCACCCGAAAGGACCAAAAATGTCATATGTAGCGGCTGCTAAATACATGGGAAAGTCAAAATCGTTCGTCGCTAAGTGGTTTCAGCAATATAAGAAGACCAAAAATGTCGATGACTTGCCAGAACGTGGCTCGATAGGCAAAGTGACGCCGAACATGGAAAAAAAAATTGTGAATTTGTTTAAGCGGAACCCGACCTTAACATTGCGACAAGGAGCAGCAAAATTAAAACAGAAGGGTATAGAAATATCACATACAACTATTCGAACCAATCTTCTTGCGCATAACATCAAATATCGAAGCACAATGAAGAAACCACTGTTAGGCGAAAAACATGTGATAAAAAGACTCGCTTGGGCAAAGGAGAATTTGGACCGAGATTGGAGCAACGTGATTTTTACGGACGAAGCTTCTATTTGGGGATATATTTCCATCCGACGTTCTTGGTCAACCTTGACCAATAGATTAATACAACGGACCGTTAAACACCCTGTAAAAGTTNATCTTTGGGGCTGCTTTTCAAAACAGGGTTTTGGAGCATTACATCTGTTTACATACAATTTAAATGCTCCGAAAATGCTTAAAATTTATGAAAAGTATTTGTTGCCGACTGCTGAACGATGTTTCATAAAAAAAAACGAGGACTGGATCTTACAGGAAGACAACGACCCAAAACACCGGAGCAAGCTTTGCACCGAGTGGAAAGAGCAGTCTGGCATCGTCACACTTGATTGGCCATCGCAATCGCCAGATGCAAATCCCATTGAAAATGTGTGGGCATATCTCAAGCACAAGCTTCGAGGAAAAAGAGTATGCACTTTGAAGCAGCTGACACGACAAATTCGTCTCATTTGGAGGTCTTTACCGAACGAATACGCAGTCAACTTAGTGGAAAGTATGCCTCGGAGATGTCAGGCAATTATCAATGCCGGTGGTGACTGGACTCATTATTAATGGTATAGCATTTTTCTTCTCATGGAGTACAACAAATCCATGTACTTAAAAATCATTAAAAATAAATTTTTCTACACATTAACCTGTACACGCTCTTACTTTACAGACTTTGATATTATATCAAAACTTATACACAAAAACCATTACATAAAAAGGTGAATGGCATATAGCGCACGACACTGATTGGTCAATTATACTCGGCGGCTTGCTTATACACAATTTATCAGCGACGATCGAGCTTATGTGTACTTATACATACGAGCGGCATAAGCGCTTTCTTCTGAGCGGACAGTAGTGCAGACGTAATTGCGCTCTTTTGAGACACTCGCTACGGACAATTGTACGAATTACCAGACGTCTATTGTGATATGGGAACCTAAAATAGCCGTGTTATATATACCGGAGTTGAATAGCGTATTGTCTCTCTGTGGTTGACAGATACGATTCATTAGCGTTGCGAGTTTCCTAATTCGTTGCTCAATTAATCATTTATTGGCAAACGATTTAAGTAATGCGATGTAAAAAAAATTAATAAACACGCGCTAGAACGTGACGTATTATCATATTTAAAAACACCATTTTTTTAACGAGATTTTAATATCGTGCTGAAGTTTAAAATTCAATATTATATAGTTTGTGTACAAAAATTTAATTCTTCAGAACACACATATTTGCCATATTTTATTTAAGTCAAAATTCCAGCGTAAGGATATTGAAACGAAATAAAAGATAAACCGAAGGTATTATACGCGTAGTGGATTTTTGTAACTTGGAACTGGTGGAAGAGCTAAAAGTATTCGGAGGGAAGCGAGTCGAACGAACGCTCTAGTGAAAAGAGAAGCAGAACCGGTTTCCGATATATTTTTGCTCCTAATCCGAACGAAGGGTTGTCGTCATAATAACATAGTATATAGTTATAAAACATTCTCGTTTCTACAGCAACAAAAACAAACTATAGCAACTAAAATAATAATAGATTGTACATAAATTGTTTTACAAACTTGAGAAAATATGTATTACAAATAAATTCATTACTTGTAATTAGTGTTTTTTATTTAAAAAATTACAAAATGCAAATATAAAATTACACAGCACAAAGCCTGACTAAAAAACTGTTGTTACAATCAAAGTGTATAAACAGAAGCAAATTAATGCAGCAAATTAATGCTTTTGTAACATCCTTCCGAGTTTAATGTGATAATAACTATTTTTGGACGTTTTTTGTATACATGTATTCCATTTTTCGCGTTGTGACAGTTATTTGCTCATATAAGCAAAAACTATATTAAGCCGTGCACTGGCTATAAATAAAATCGTCGAGTCGCGCATCACAATTCATTAAAAGTTTATGAAATTTGCAGACTCATCCACGTGGAGGAAAATAAACGTATCGCTCTTAATGAGAAACTCTCTTAATGGGAAACGAGTCTGTAAAGTTCGTGCAAGTTCGCTTATTCGCGTGTTTTACGAGGAAATTTATTTTACGCGACTCGACGAGCCGCACTCGATGTGACTTCTTCTTCTTCCGCCGATCTCGTTCGTTCCACGTGGGGCGTGTACGCGCGTTTCGAAGTGAAAAATACCAAAGCGATCGTGTGTCGAAGATCAATACACGGAATGTCGCGCGAAGCTACGCTAATGAGATTATCACCTGAACAACTCGCCAAGCTGAAACGTTTGCCGCGCGAATTAGACAGATGGACGCGCGCGCGAACTTGTCACGCCGATACTTCCTGGCAACAGATCAGATTATGCGCGCATCGTCGACCTACGTGCAACGGGAGGAATTTTACACGCTTGGCTATAAAAGCCGACAACGTAATCCGATGCAGCGCAACGACGTCACGCTCGCGGAAACGCGCCATCGATCGCGGTCGCGGCCTTCCTTGTTCTGTTGAACTATTAACGCTATATACACGGGAAATGTCATTTGCCTTGGAATTGTTGATCAAGAAATCAATCGTTTGACTTTGGCGGGGAGAAGGGAATACTTTGCTTCCTCATCATTCATTCAATATATATATACGCGTGGGAATATACGAGAGAAATAAATTAAGAGAGCCAGCACTAAAAATACAAAACGTGTACATTAAAATATTATATTTACTTGCAAACATATTGGATAAGTTTTTAAAATCTGATGCGTATTTTTTTCTTTTTAATTTTATTTCTGAGATCACTCGAGCATGATTATTTTTTTTTAAATTTATCTCTTTGATAGAAGCATCGGTCACATGATTTCATTCACGTTTGGAAAACAGCAATAAATTTCCCGACGAGATGTAATGCTCGCGAAATTGGATTTTCTTTCGCAAAAAACGTGGGAGTCGACGAGACGCAGACGAATATAAAGCGGCGAATGATATGCGGAAAATGTTGACCGTGCGACAGCCAGCGATCAATCAACGGGAGCGCGAATTCGCAGTGTACGGATTGCACAGAGCCGCGCTCGCGTCGATAAATATTGAATTTTTAATGGTTGGAGCGCGCGGAGGTGGTGCACTCGACGTGCATAACACTCGGTCGCTGCATGATCCGTTCTGTCATTGCGATACATATGTACGTGTCGAGACGCAATGATCCCGTTGAGATCTTTCAAGCGCTGTTCTCAGAAACATTAAGTTGCAGTTTAAATAATTCTCTTCCTCTTTTTTTCTACTCTGTTTGAAGAAGAGACGGAAGAGTTAATGTCGGCAATATCATTAAAGCGGTAAAATTCGATGAAAACTGTCCTGTAAAAATTGTCAAATTTATGTTCCCTTTAATCACACGTTTGACATATTTTATATGTATAAAACAGTGGCGATAGAATTTTTTTATTTTAGGAACTTGTTCACAACACGCAAGAACAGAGTAAAGAGAAATAAATGATCATGACGAAAGACGCGAGAGCATTACATGTGAAACGTTAGTAAATAAAAATAATACAGTTGCGCGCTGCAATATTATGCAACCTGCGCATCGAGCGTTGCAATAACGGGAATAGAGCTGATAAAATCGCTGATAAGATTATATTCAATCATTGCACGCTGAACGTTCGCTACGTTATATTTTAGCGCGTGGTCGTTTAATAAAACGACTAGTTGGCATATATATGTATATGCTATAGTCGTATATGCGATAATCTTGACGCAACAATTGCGATTTCAACTGTGGGTTTCTCCGAACGATATCAATGTAATTAATTTGTATCAATGTGATTAACTGTGATCGTGATAATCTGTTACTACGCTCTTTTGTTTAAGAAAACTGCTCGATCGATGATGAAAATTACGCGAGACTAAAGTTCTATTTTCATACTTTGTATTTGACAAATTTCCGTATAGGTAAACTCTATTACAGCAAGCACATCTTTTGTCTAAGAATTACGATATAATCGATATATCTCTTTTAATCAATTATCTCTCCGTCGATTTTCGTTCCGATACGTGCGATCGATACGGTGCTATTATTATGCAACAAATGTTATCACGAATTCCTCGAAGCTCCACGTCGTCTTGAAGAAGAACCGAGAAGAGAACGGCCTCACCCACTCGCGATCAACGCGTCAATATTCATTAGTTCGCACATATACATACGACGATCTCTGCCCTTATACGACGATTGTCTGCCCTTTGACTCTCGATAATAGATAATTACAGCAGAGAATCCCTGACAAAGCTTCTCCGAAGCTATTGACCATTTTCGCGCCCGGATAGGATGAGATCATCGGAAACATATGTATAAAGTCCTGGGGAACGGCCGCGCATTTTTAGAGCGCAGCTTATCGGCGCGTCTATTGTCTTCGCACACCCGCATATTCACGCGTACATTGCATATTCTGCGCGACTTCTTCGCTAGAAAAAAAAAAAAAAAGAAAAAAACGACGAGAGAGATGTATAAATATTTAAATAATCGCGTGTCTAAGCGCTGACGAAATGACACGTGCTACGACAACGTGGAAGAAAAAAGCGATCGATAGTCGTCAAAACTGCACGTGACCTTCTGCGTATCAAACGCGTTATACAAATACAGAGAGAAATAACATTACGCTGACGAGTCAAAAGTAAAGCGTATTTTTTTTTCTACTTGCGTAAGAATTCGTTAAAGAAGTATCGACGGTGAGAAATTCCTGGAAGTGAAGACAAGACTCTCGGTGTTTCTTCACAATAAAACGAACTCTCACGATCAGAGTTCTGAAAACTTTATTCGACCTCGGTAGTTGGTAGATTGTTCTGTAACTCTAACGTCAGATACTTTTTGTATGTGAGAAAAGTTTCTTTATTCATAAGTGGAGCGCGGCAACTCTAATTGGAGCTCTGGAATATTAACGTTCGGGTGCTAACTTCCACAAACACGCTTATTTCGCGTCGAATGATACGAGTGAAAAAACAAAAAAAAATCACAGCGACACGAATTTCGCGGTAATTCGGACGATATGATTCTTCTGAACGCTCTCGAAATTCGGTGTGGGTCACTTGGGATTATTTTTGTAACGAGTCCGAGAAGCCGCCGATAACTTTTCGTGGCTTCAAGCAAAAAATCGTTTTACGACGCACGAATGTTACAGCGAAATATTTTGCACGTGTGCGTGTTCGACCTTTAGACTTTTTGGAAGAGACACCTCTCTCGTATTAGAAGAACCAAACGCTGTAAAACAAACAAACTTGCGAAGGTCTCTGGCTTGTGGGAAAAAAAAAAAGTTGCAATAGTTTACGTTCTCTGAAAATAATTTTTCATACGGCAACGCGAGTTTTACTGCGCGAACGAATCTTGTTTCGATGTGTATCGCTTATACTTATGAAGAAAACAGAAATAATTACGACAATCATCGTCTAAGGACACGAAAGCGTCGCGTGATGCTCGTCGTATAATCGGTCATCGGCATTCCATGTATCTGCGTCTGCAATCGACATTCCTCCCGTCAAACTGCCGTTAAAATTATTTCTGCGACTGGTCTCGGTGGCCGCGGTGATCTCGCCTTTACAAGGAGACGCAACCTTTCGCGAGCAACCTCTTGTTGGAAGTACGCGATGCTCGTTGCAACGCGATAGACGCGAATTTAAAAAATTGCGCGAAACATCAAAATTTGTAAATAAATGAATAATCTTGTATTCGCAAAAACTTTTGTTTCGTCTGCGTCAAGAAATATTATTTAATCTCCAATATTTTTTTACCATGAAACAAAGCATATAATATACTTGGTTTTTATCACACTAAGCGCGTTATCAGAAATTGAGCCAAAGTCAAATATCCGATTCAGATAATAATTACAACATATCTCTTTTTCTCGAGAGTTCTATCGGATAATTCGTTATTATTTATACGCTATATGAAATATGTTGATATAATGATGTATATATAACGGATTATGCGTTGCTTCATATATTTTCTGTTAAACGGAATTATATATATATATATATAGATTAAACCGAAGTTAATCCCTGTCCTAATCTTCTGACGCGGTGCTTTATCGACATTGTGTTGTAAACTACATGTACAAAAACGTTTATAAATCACGCGGGCGGCGAATTTTCCTCGGTGTAAATGCCACAGATGGGGTTCAGTAAAATTGAATTATGTTATTACTGACAAGGCAACAGTCATCTTTCGGTCTTTTGCCGAGCGTCGACGACGATTTACGACGACAATTAGACTGACGGCGTACGCGCGACGTCACGGCACGGCAATTTTCTTTCGGAGGAAGCTGTTCCCGACGAAACGGTGCAATGGAATTTTTTTTTTTTTTGCATGTCGAAATGAGAACCAGGTCACGAGGAAAGAGATATATAAGACGACGGCCCCCGAGGACGAACGTCGTCGGGAAATCACCGAAGAGTATATAAATAGAGGATGACTCGCGATCCGAACGCGCTTGGACACACCGTCCGGCCGATGATCGCACACCTTTGCCACGGGGCAAAGTGGCTATCGACGCGCCGGAACGAGCGATCGACGACGAGGTGCTAACAAAACGAATTAACACCTTCAGAGATACGCGACGACGTCGTATCGGCGGACGAAGCGTCGCTCTCTCTCTTAAAAATAGCCGACGACGAAATCGACGTGGCGCCACGCGAACGAAAAAAAAAAAAAACCCAATGCGCAATGATTGCTCTTTATCCCAGCCGATAAGAATCTCGGTGTGTATTCTGAGCGTGTTATCTTCTCATCTTTCGAGAACTCAGATTTTCAACAAAACTTTCTCCGTGAATCTCAGCGGAGAGTTGCTCGAGAGTCGGTAAAAAATATTTCCGAGTTTTGTTTTCGCGAATAACTTTTATTTATGTAAAGAGTAAACTAAACACATTAAAAATCGAAAAAAAAAATCTAGAATCTCACAATTAAAATTCTTCGTTAATAAATTAAATTAACTCGAATTTAACGCGGAAGCTTACCTTAAGTGCGTATTTTTCTCTCGTAATTTTGTCGTAGCACTGCACGACTTTGCCGTTAATCCCAAGCCCCAGCACGGTGTTGCTGATCTCGTAATCGTCGGTGATCGGTGTCACTTTCGGCGACAAGCGGCTGCCCAAGGACTGATCCATCGTGATCTTCTTCCTGACTTCCTGTTCCTGTTTCAGTTCGTAATCCTGGCGGATCACCTGTGTCACCACCACCGGGGATGCCGAACGTTTGCGTCTGCCCTCCTTCTTCTGATCGTTCTCTTCGAGAACGGCCCTCTGGGACTTTCTGCAAACCGCGATAATATTCGCTTTGTCATTGCGAATTCAAGGTATTGAGAAGAAACCTACGTAGTCGCGAACGAGGCGCGAAGGTCGCGCGCGTACAGAGCGCGGAAAAATACGATATTCCAGATTACGCGGCGATAACTGGAACCGTTCGCACCGATAACGCTTTATTAAGCATGTATGAGTTACAAGAAAACGTTCCGTATTCGCCGATTATCGAATGTACAACGCATGTTTACCGACTACGCGATTGTATGTTTGTTGCGTTCGTCAAAATTGTCCTCGAAAAAAGGAGATTACGTCAGCGCTCGGCAACGTGTGGCGACAAATAAAAATTGCAACTGCGCGGGAAAATCCCGAGAAAATTTGTAATATCGCACGCGCACGCAAGAAATCTGCGGAAACGTTAATTATCCATACGACTCATTTACGGTGTCAGTTGCCGTTTCAATGAAAGACCGCGTTTGCATAACCTTCCTTGAAGAATGTGCAAGATTCATGTTATTTCGCGCACGTACATACATACACACACACACACACACGTGTACGTATTCTACTACCTATATACACAGCTTCGCATCTACACGATGTGTGTGCTTGTTTGTTCCGCAGTGCAATTTCCACACCGCAATGCGGTGCGAGCGATCGGTGACTGCAATTTTCCAATTACAATCGAATCGTTGCAATCGGAAACACGTGTTTGTTCATAGTTGAGCGGTGGCAAGTAACGTACACACATACGTCTTACAACACACAATATCCATTGCTACTATTACTACTCTACTACTATTACTGCAAGTTTTCATTCACATAAAAAACACAACATTGAAGTGAGTCGGTGAAAATTATTGATATAAAAAATAAATACCGAAATAAACAAATTTGACAAATTCCGAGAAACTAAAAGTCGGTTATATTGACAATGAGATTATGAATCATACGGAGCAATCACGTGTCAGACACATTTATCATTAATTTATCAATATTTAACATTAATGAATCACCGCTTGTTACTACTCAAAGAGAATTTAGCACAAACATTGCAAAAATCATACACATAAATTGTGTATAAAAAAAAAAAAAATGTAGCACGTCTCGTGTTCATTTGCGAGAGCTACAAAACATGCGCTCAAGGATCACAAGGTTGCGACGGAATAATAAATTTTTACATTTGTGTCGGAGTTTTTTTATCTCGATCGGTCTTTGATAAAAAGCGATCGGAGCAGTTGATTACGTTAGAATTGCAAATATACGACGAACAAATAATAAACTTATATAAAAGATCGGCGTTTGTACATGTGATTTTTCCGCGCCGCAACATCACGGAATAATCACTTTCTGAGTTATCCTTTGCGGAGAAAGTTAGTTAGGAGCAGCAGAGATTCAAAATCAGCGTTAGATCACACAACGCGAGCGTCCTTATTATTATGTTTTCCAAAAAAATCAAAGAAAAAAATCGGCACGAGAGTTATCGCGCAACAGCACACAATAAACCCATCGATCTGTAAAGTTTTTGAAAAGGGCGAAGTTGCGCCAACAAAAACTCACTTATACGAGATATAAACAAGATGTCAAGTTAATACTCAAACTGATCGATCAACTGAGAAGAAAACATACAAAGTACTCAATCGAACTTGTCCGATTTCAATCAACGTTTTCTATTTATAGAACAATATATATATATATATATATTGTATATATATATGCTTGCATAGAAACAATTATATTTTTATTGTTGGCGCAACCGACCTTTGTTCGATCCTCGCACTGCGGGAGAACGTGTGTGTGTATTCAGGCGTTATTCGCGCATGTAAAAAAGGAAAATAAAAAGATAAAAAAGAGAGACCTCCAGAATTTCCACTTAGTTGCCGTCTTCGGCATCGGTGTAGCTTTCTGATTTTTCGCACACGTCTACGTCCCGATTCGTTCGAGACGCAAAAGCATCACCGTCCCGGTCCGCGCGTCGTGAAAGCCGAAGAGAGCTGAGTTTTTTTTTTCCAGAAGGATGATTTGTCAGGTGCAACGACGGCAGAGATGGCACACAACACGAGAGCGGTTAGGAGAAAGATATCTGTCCACCCGAGATTTTTCCCACACAGAGAGTAGTAGAAAGAGCGAGTTTTTAGTCCGGCGTCTTGTCTGTGTGTTTTTTTGTTTTGTTTTGCGTTCGCTTTCTAAAGTCAGGGAATAATCGCCAACTGAAAACTAAAGATAAAAGAAACCAATAAAATTAAAATCGCGAGGCACAAAAGCGTGTCGCGCGGATCGGATTTCCATGAACCAAGCGAGCGTTTATAATACTATAGGATATAAATAATAATATTTCACAGGTTTTCTACAACAAAAATGATTATCAAATCAGACATCACAGTGCAATGACTTCCGGTGTGTTTTGCTGCGTCTTCGAAAACGCGCATTACGGGAGCTAAATAAACAATCTTTCGGCGCCTCGATTTAGAAACTCGTTTTTTTTTTTTTTTTTTAAATATACTTTTCTCGTTAGTTGAAAACAATTTGGAGACAATGTGTTTATTTAAACAATATAAATCAAATACCTACACACGTGGCTGTTTTTTTTCTCAACCTCGCGCAAGAACTCGCATTCAAAATCCAGGGCCGAAAGTGAACAACATTTCGTTGCGCGTTTTCTCATTTTTATTGTTTTCACAACGAATCCAAGCGATCAAATCAATTGGTGGAGATCAGTCATGTCGTTACATACGCAGATCGTGTGCGTGCAATGAGTGCGCAGTCGTAGTCAATCAAGAGAAGAAGCGAAGCGAGCAGCAAGCGAAAGACATATGTTTGTACATAATCACACACAACAACAGACTCTTAATTATAACAGACGTAAAAATTAGTCAGACGTCATCTTAGGCAAACAATGGGGGAAGGGGGAGAACGTTTAAATCCCCGATATAAGTTCAATTCCGATTTTTCGCGCGGGATACGACGGAGAATGAACGGCAGTTTCCACTCGCGTCTCTCTTTCATAAGAAAAGTTGAATGAAAACAAAAACACGATGAAATATACCGCGGAGCAGCACGATCGTATCATATTAATAGCGGCGATGAGATCAGTCCGTCTGTGAAACGAACACTGTTGACAAAAGAAGCGTATTTTCATTCGCGTAATTTCCCGTCAGATGTGGTCGCCTTGGAATTCTGCTTGTTTCAACACAAAGATCGTGTCCACGTCATATACAAATATCATGCACGAACGATAATGACGGGTTACGTTTTAACGTTAAAACATGGAAAAGAGAGAAACAAAGCTGCCTGTGTGTGTATGCGCGCACGTTCTATGAATATTGACTTAATACAATTATTTACATGCGCGTTTTTGAATAAATTTTATTTGAAACCACATTTCGCTTTTCAAAGAGAAATTTTATCTAAAATCACATTGCGCGTGGTTCTCTCTGTGTGTTGCATACGTTAAAAAAATTCGGAATATGTAATTATTTAAAACAAAAAATACTGTCTCTCTGTGATTTTGTGTGTATTTTTCGAAATCCATTTTACCTGGAATGAAAACATGAGTGTATGTTTTACGTTTCCGAGTGAGATACGTATTTTTTTTTAGGCCAACTTTGGAGGGGGGAGACAAGCAAATAAAAAAGCACAAAAAAGATACGAGAACCTAAACAATGACATAATAAGAGCGATAATAATTAAACAATTAAATAAAGCAGAGGAAAAATAAGTTAATTTAGTTTTGCGGGAAAAAGTTTACTTGATAATAGTGGGTGTTTTGAAAAGAAAAAAAAAAGTAACACACCCCAATTGCTCACATATCATCGAATCGTCATGTTTGAGATTATCTCCCCCTCGTAAGCAGACACACGTAAATGTGAACATTATACAAATATATACAAGTGTAATAAAAACAAGACTGCTTAAATAAAACAAATACACAATAAATACAAATGTAACAAAATATATAATTTACACTTGTAAGATAAACCTTCGATATTGCGCGAATTTATTAATGAAGAAGAGCTAAGCTCGTGCACACAAAAAAACATTCAAGGATTGAAATAAAAGCCAACATTGAGCCAGTCGATCAAACGTTCAATACAATATGGAATCAAGAAATGAAACAAGTACGTACCTATCGACTTGCACACTTCTTATCAAAGAGTTCCGATATTCCCGCCAGACAATCGCAATTCGCGTACAAATCACACGTATCGAACACGAGCGACTCTCGCCGGCATTATTTACGCGCAGCGTCGTCGGGGATCGCACGTTCAATCAATCACAGAAAATTCGCGAGCGTCTCGTCGTCAAACGACGCTTAGGCCCCTCGCGATCGAGTAGTTTCGCAAGAGAAACGCGAAGAGAACGGAAGAAACTTCTCCGCGAGAAAGAGAATTTCCTGGAAGGTAAGTCCCGCGTGCCGATCGCCGTTCTCGCGCTATGACTCGTCCCGGTTTGAGTGTTCGCTTCACTTTCAACGATATCACCGATGAATTGCGTGATGTTGAGTAACAAGTCGGGTTCTCAGCGGTCGCGTCGGTGCGAGAGTAGACGCACTACTCGCGTTGAATCGCACCGTTCCGTCAAAATCGAGTCAGGTTGCCCACCACCGGACGATGCTTCGTACGTTGCGCGGAGCAACGAGAACGAACGCAACCGCGTCGAAAAATCGTCGAACACTGACGCGCTACGGCGGCGCGACGGCGCCGCTCGCGACGGTCTTGCGCCGTGACTCATTCACTCGCGCAGGGCCGCAACAGGGTCGTTGCGCGTTCTCATTACTTATATACTTCGCTCAAGTGTTTCTTATTCGTTGCACAACGAATTCTTTATTTTCCCTTTGACAAAACCTATCCTTGATTTTAATTTAGTGTTTGATACTGATGTGCGCTAAAAATAGTGCATATGAGTATTGTCTTCTGAGATGAATTTTGTTCATATCGCAGGTCATGTGACTCGAAATTCACTAACGACTGGTTTTAAGTGATGACGTCAAGTTATCGTTGCGTGCGCACGCGTAACTTCGCGGAAGCGCGCTTTCTCTGGAAAGTTTAAGCCTTTCCCCGCAGCAGACCTGCGGTTATTGAAAGGGTATCGACCTTTCCCGATATTGAACACAATTGGAAATAATCAGTATTAAAACGTTCGTTATCAATTCAGCAATTAAGTGAATTCACATATAGTAGTGTAGCAAATACAATGAATTAAAGCACGTGGGATTTTATATTAAACAGAAAATGCGCCGAGATAGCGAAAACGAATTGTAAATATTTCGAAAATTTATCTCAAATATTTTGAACAGATTTACGTATGGGAGATCGACAATGTTTTATTGACGTTCTTACGTAATAGTGACAAGAATATAATTGTTTTCGAATTCGGGACAAGGATGATGAAAAATACGGCGGACTGTATGTCTCTATGACCTAGCAAATATTTATTTTTTATCGTAAATATATGTTTTTTTTCGCGACAGGTTTAAATATAACATGCGTGTGTATACATATGTATGTACATGTCGTATTTCACTCATATTGAAATTATGTCGCAATAAATTTTCAGGTATCTCTGATGTTTTATCTCTATACTTTGTTAAGTAATATAACAATAATTACAAAACTCTTTTAATAACATCCATATAAATATTTTTCTTATGTAGGCACATTCTCTTGTTTTTTTTTGTTTTTGTTTTTGTATATATACATTTCCTCTTTGAAATATTTTTGCGAAATATATTTCGATATAGTATATATATATATAAATTGTCTACGAGGGATGTAGTCCGACATTCGAGTTACTGAGGTGATATACCGTAATTTATGCTCAATTAGCCAGTTCAAGAACTTTGAATTTCTAAAATTGATAAATATGTATGTTTTGCAAAACACATATTACATAAACTACATTGCCAATTAATCACCTCAATAACAAATATATAAAAAGGTATACTTAGCGTATTCGACTATTATCAACTATGTTAAAATAATCACAATACTGTTAAAATATTGTGAAATACTATTCTTGTTGTTTTTGGTAATACCTAACTTTTGACCTGTGTTTGATGTTATTTTTAATATTGTCTCATTTTCATATCCTGCATTTTTCCGCATTATTATATTATATAGATTTAAAAAGTTTTGTGTGTAAAATTGAATAAACAAAATGTTTTGAATAATTATTTATACAATTATAACGAGATACAAAAACTGTGGATATTCAGTTACATCGCGTGTTCAGAATTTAAAAAAAAAAAAAAAAAAAAAACGATATAATATTGCCGATATTTTTGTAGTTTGTAAATGAGCACGTGTATACATATGCGATATAAGAAAAAATATTAAACATAGCATAACTTAGAAAATACTAATATTTTATAATATTATATACACTTCCAGTTCTATGTTAAATATGCACGAAGTGTACAGTTATACTCCTATACATTATTATCATTACAACGTGTAAGAGATGTATAATTACAATTAACACCATGAAATTTACAATCACTTAAGTTTTAAGTAACTCATGTGTGTATACATATTCTGCCTAAACTATATTAAGTATCCACAAATATTTAAACCAAAGGCCGATACGAGCATAAAATTACAGGATGGTCGTATAAATGATATTGATGATGATTGTATAAATTTGACATCTATTTGTTAGTGATGTTGTGTACTACAATGTTACTTCTCAATTAAACTTAATTATGTACTACTGAAGAAGGTCCAAAATTGTGTGACCGAAACGTCTAGAATTTTTGAATAAAGACAAATTATCATACACGACCATCCTGTAATTTTATGCTCGTATCGGCCTTTGGTTTAAATATTTTTGACTATTTCACGAGCGATTGATTGAATTAAGTATCCACGTTTCTCTCTTACAAAAAATATAATTTCTTATTGTCCATTCCAGATACACAAGCAACAAGTAATTGGTGCGCGAAAGCTTTGATTTTTTTATATATCAGAAGCAAAAATATATGTCAATTTTTTTTCGACATTATTACTATAAGAAATCTGAATTTCTTAAATGTAGGAATAGGTCTTTCTTTTGTCAACATTTCTCAAACAACTCCAACAGGTGGAAATTTCTTTACTTTTAAAATGTATCTTGTGTCTTATCCGTTACAGCTTAAAATTAAAAAAAAAAAAAAAAATTATCTTACTTTTATAACAAATACACTTGCTAACATCATAAACATATTATATGCCTGTTTTGTGGATTATATATCAATAAGACTTTCTTGTGAAATCATTATATCACATTAGTAATATACACATAAATACTACAATATTTCACTTTTAAGGTACTAAAAAACAAAAAGTCCTACATAGAGATCACTTAGAGAAGCTCATTTTCAAAATATTGCATTTCATCACATGGATACTTAAAAAATGCAACGGAAAAGATTCGTCGTATTTTTTTGTTACGTAATAACTGTTTTTCATGTATATATGTATGTATGTATAAATATATTTATAACGTCAACATTTTCCCTGATTACTTTACAGGTTGCTCAGATTAACGAGTACTGTCAGTTAAACTTTCACTTTGTATAATCGCATATAGTCCAGTATTCATATAGTCCGATCTTACATGTAAAATAGTCTTAAGAGGGTACTGGATACCGATTATAGAGACCTGTAAACCGACGTTTCTCCTAAGTTCTTTGGAGTCGTATTTACTGCATCAAATCTAAAATGCTTCTACAGAAATAAATAAATAGTGCTAAAGATTGGCGCTTGTTCTTTGGAATGTCAAAATTCAGCATAAATTTTTTCTTATACAGTTTCCTTCTATAACCTCACTACATATTCATGTATGTAGAATTATTTCTAAGCTTATGTATATATTTACAATAAACAAGCGCCGTAGATACGACAAAAATGAATCTAATGAGACATTCAAATTATGGTATGACTATCTAATTGATGAGAACAACGTCTTAGTGTGATGACAGTATAGATTATCATATGCTATCATTATGAATAAAAAAAAGAGTTTCAAAAGACATTATATATCTATTTTCAAAAGCACTAAATAGTTGTTTATATGTATTTACTTCTATAGAAGCACTTTTTATGTAATGCAGTAAAGAAACTTAAAAATTAGAGAAATTTAGGTTTTTAAAACGTCTGTTTACAGGTCTCTATCCAGTTTACAGGCGAGGCTCCAGTACTCTCTTAAGTTCGTCTTTAGATGGTAGGTAATACAACAGTTTGCATAAGACAAACTTAAAACAGTTTCAAATGTAAGATTGAACTATGAATATTGACTTTGAATTTTTAACCACTTGGTCTGGAATTACACAGTATATCTCATTTTTCTGAATATTTGCACGCGTATGAGACGGCGATCAACTCTTTTATATTCTTTCTACAGTCAAAGTTCATTAAAGTGAAATCTTTGGAACCTGATATAACCAGTATCATGAAATTCCACTTCTATCTCAACTCTGGTAACACAAATCCAGCGTGAAATGTCACAAGATTATTTTCTTTTTATGCGTGTCCTTATATGGTAATATCAGCGAAGTAAACTTCACTAAATGTTTTCACTTTTGAGTAAACTTCGACTGTAAAAATACAAATGGAACTCGACTGTAATTTTTTAAAAATAAATTAGAATATAGATAGTCACACCGCTAAAATTAACTGTCCAGCACAAGTGATTATCTAACAACATTGCAGAGCTATTATTTTTTTTTTGTTTTCTTGAAGGTTTTGCAGAATGTCCATCTATTATGTGTAATAATAAATAAAGAATTGTCAGATACCACATTATAAACAATCAAATGCTACTTTAAGTAATGCTATGTTCAGATTTTTACATGTACAATTGATACATACAATACAGCAGTATTAACAGCGTACTGTACGACTATTCATCTACAATCGGAAATTATAATCGAGTCTGTTAAAATTTTTACGAAATTGGTTCCTCGTGTCACGTTTTTTTTTTTTTTTTTTTTTTTTGCACTTTCGTTGTATGAAAATGTTCAAGGCATCCAATATATTTATGTATACATCACTCTTTAGTCCACGATTTGCATTGCATCGACAATAGTATTTGTCACCCCGCGTGACTTTCCGGTTCGGTTTTGTAATCCGGCATGGTGAGGATATAAGGCACGACGCTGGCCACGCTCACTCGGCCGATGAGACCCGAGAAGAACAGGTCTTCCAGAACTCGAGGATGAATCGAGCGAAGTGGCGCTAATCGCAAAAGAAGGCGAGACAATCTGTCGGAACTCACACGTTGCTGCAGTTCCGTCCACGCCGCTTCTTGAAGAACTTCGACCTTTTTACGCCATACATTTGATATAATATTGTCTGAAAAAAAATAATCTTCACGCTTCGATATGCGAAACATTCTCACAAACTTCTGTTATATGCCATTTTAAATTCGCTTACCTGGACTAAACAGCGTCAGAGCTTTGAGATACGCGTACTCAACTGAATCCACTTGCATTTTATGCAAAGAACCCACGCATTCCTGTAGTCTGCATATGTGTTCCGTGACGTATTTCACTTTGCTAGCTGTGATCTTCTCGTGTGTGAAACTGACTTGCAAGTGACTGATTATCGATGATATAATACTAGAGAGAGACAGTGTATACGCGCATTGAGCCAGTCCCAACGTGAACAGTTGTCCCCAGGAACTTCGCACTAAATCGATTTGAATATCCGATCTGGAATAAACAAAAAAAACGCTTATTTTTGATAATGTTAAAACGTTGTTAACATACGAAAAGCACACATTACACGTATTAAATCCAATATATACGAAATATACTTACGGCAAAGCTTGAAATGCTGGAATTCCTTGCACCCAATGTACAGACAAGAACAATAGTCTAGCCGCACTCTCGCATATGAAGTGAATAGATAGATACGCGGGCGCTGGACTGGGCGCTCTCAATTCGAACAAGGTGTTCCGTTCAGTGATTAACTGACCAGTCCATTCTTCTTCCGGTTCGCTTGAACCGTTTACCTACGAGTGAACATCGCGATGCATTAAAGACTCAATTTGTTGTGCAACACAAGATACGAGGACGCAAAATAATTAACCCAACTTACATCATTGATGAATTTAGCCATGTTATCCAACACGTGAGAAATGAGTAAGCGATCGCGAGCTGTGGTCAAACTAGCATCGCTATCGCTACTTTGGTCTTCCATACTAGGACTCTCGGGTTGTTCCCAAGCCGGAAGCGATTCTGGCGCAGGTTGCTGCGGTTCCGGCTTTACCCTGGAACTACGATTGCCCACTTTCGCCGCCGCGGATTCTCCCAATACGGGTTTTCTTTCATGCTGGACAGCTGCAAATCATTCGTATGTGTATTTATTATGTTTTTGAATAATGCATTTTACAGAGCAAGTTAACCGCACGATAATGAATGTCTTGCACTTACAATCGCTTCTCATGCCCATCGCTAAGCATTTCTGCAATCTACAGTACTGACAACGATTTCTATGGTGTTTGGTAACTTCGCAATTTTTGCTTCCTCTGCATTGATAGCCGAGCTGTTTGCGAATGCTGCGCTTAAAAAAGCCTTTGCAACCTTCGCAACTGATCGCACCGTAATGTCTGCCACTTGCTCTGTCTCCACAAACTACGCAGAGTTCTAAGGACAATCCTAAGCCTAACGATCCGCGCACGTCTCTTGCTAACTTCACCTGCAAGAATGCGTCCAAATGTCACTCAAGCGTGTCGAACGAGCGACAATAAAATAAAAAAATTTTTAAAAACCATAATATCCACCTCGACATCGACGTTACTCAAATGATCCATGCTGGAGTGTAAGTGGACCATTCCCGGATGGCCCAAATTACGGAAATCCCTTCCTATCTTATGGTCCAGCTTGTCCTCGTGCAAGTTGTCGACATGATTGTTTTGATCTATATCTCTCTGCAATCGCAAGCACAAGCTTCGTATTACAAACAAATTCATTAAAATATTATCATTTGGGAAGCACCTTTTGCAACTTACCATAGCTGGATGATGTCCTATGTTGTGAAAATTCCTTCCTAATTTCTCGGACTTATCATCGTGCAAATTTTCGGCGTGATCGATCGAGTCAATTTCCATAGACTGCAATAGATTATTTCAAACTTCACAATTATAGGTATATAATTTTTTTTTTATTTAATAATTGTGTTTTGTATTTCCATATGACAATTATACTAATTCTAAATAATTTATTATTTTTTTTTACAAGAGCGAGATATATATTGCAAACAGGGAATTGGCAAGCAAAACAAACCTCTGCATCGGCGTCCGGTGCGTGATCGTGATGATGGGAGAGATTGCGAAAATCCATTCCAATTTTGCTGTTTGATTCCTTCTCATTCAGATTATCGTGATCGCGCTGCTCTCTGTGATCCCTATCCATTTCTCTCTGTAAAAACGGATGAACGCCTCCGTTAGACGTACGTATACACATTCCACAAGTGTAAGATATTTCCGTGTCGATCTTATAATACCACGCGCGTTACCGTCCCGTTAAGGTTGTATTCAGGGTAAGATCTCAGTCAAAAGTTTAAGAAACATAGCGTAAACCGAACCTATTTTAATATTTAGATAATAATTGTTTGCTGGAATAGTATTATTTGTACTAAAATAAGTTACAAAAACTATTTATTATACTTTTAATAACTACGGNCGAAATGACTATTTTTTCAAGTGGAATTTGTTTTTAAGATATTTATTAACAACTGCAAAAAGTTTCAAAATTATGGCATATCTACATCTACAATTTATTTTGTAATTTATATCAGAATATCGTGAAATCCCATAAGAACTCGTGTTAAATTAAAATCGTACTAACTTTTTAACAAGGCTCGCAAAGAAGCTGAAATTTTGCATAATTTCTTTTTTTAATATTATCTACTGACTGGCAAATTTCGAATAATCCGGCATATCTTTTATCTTACCCTGAATACAACCTTAAAAACACCGAGAGAAAGAGAGAGAGAGAGAGAGAGAGCGTAAACGAACGGGCTTTTCTCTTTAAACGCGTGCTAAACAAGCATTAATGATTTTCAACCGGATATTGCGATCCACAGATTGTCGGGTTTCCGACAGTGCCTAGTAATACAATTCGAATCGTTTCTTGCAACACACGATGATGAGCGTATCAAATAGCGATTTAAGACTCATCTAAAGAAACCTAATTATACCAGATATCGCAACTTGATAAAAGATATCGCTCACATTCTCCTGACAATTATTATTCTCGCTTTGTAATTCGAAAGAACGAGGCGTCGCACATTGTGCTCCGCAGTCAATTTTCTTCGCTGCCACACAAAAAAAAATTATCTTTCTTCGCCGTGTATTGTTAAAACGCTAAAAAAACACGAACGCGAAACATAAGTACAATATAACCTTTAGATAAGATATGCGATAATCTACAGGTCAATGCGTCACACACGTCACATTGTTGCTCACGAGGAAGTGCACTGTCCCGACGATCGATCTGATAATACCGATTCCTCGCTCTCCGCAATTTCATCCCATTGGGAGAGAGGGAAAGAGAGAGAGAAACGATTGCGCGATCCAAAGTGCTTGAAGAACTAAGCGCAAGGGGCGCGGGATAAAAATGTAAACTGGAGCATTTGCCGGCCCGTCCCCACCTGCTGAGAAGAGAAACTCCTCGTCCCCGTCTCGTCCCCTCGTCGCCCGCCCTCTTCCTCTCTCCTCCTTCTCCTCGTCTATCTGACCCCTCTACGTCACGTTTCGAGAGGTGAAAGAGATGGTCCCGAGTTCCTCGGTTCGTAGGTTGCTACGCGGTTAGAGTAGGTAGGTGCATGCCAATGTCCGGCTACGTCGCGCTACGCTGCACCGTTGCTGGTTTATACTCTACTCTGGTTTATGTACTCGTTGTCATAGACCAGCGGCTCGAGTGGTCCATTTCTATACGTCCGTAATCCGACTCGCGATAAGTCCGCCGACATCGCCGCTCCGCGATTTCATGAACCTCACGGGAGAACACGCGTTATTGTTCTCTCATCTCAAAATTACAAAATACTACGCGTTCTCGTTTTTACACCAGTGTTCAATTGTATAAAATTTCGAATCCGATTGCATCATCTCCTCTCACGCGTGAAACGTATTTGCGACGAATTATTGTAGTTCACAAATTTTCAATTACTGCGCGCAACAATTTGTATAAAATTTTTTTTTATACTTCCGATTTGTGATATCGAGAAAACCGTTTGCTTCTTCTACCAAAACCGAGAACGTGATCGCACATCACAGTCAATATGTATTTTACCTGCGTCGAAATAGATTTTCTTCCAAACACGACACACTTGATCCGACACCGTCTTTGTAATACAATCAAAAGTGCCCTTCTGAGAGGTCATTCTTTAATACGTGCGGTCGTAAAATGTTGCCTGTGTCAAAATACTGTGGCTTTTTTTACCAGGAAATTTCGAGAATAGAAAAAAAGAAAGAAAAAAATTTTAGGTAAAAGGTCCGTCTGAATATGCAAAAAGAAGTTTTTATCGCAGTAAACGACTTTCTTTATCTTTTTTTTTCTTTCTAAAACTGTGACGACAGGAATGCGCGCGAATTTTATCTTGTTTGAATAAATTCACACATCGCGGATACATTCGCCTCTTCGATGAATTAATTCGCGCGACGATAATAAGAACAGAATTTTTGCACACATTGATAAAAAAAATCAAAAGGAAATCGCAGAGATATATCCATATCGCGTGTAATTCGACACGCGGAAGTTATAGGGAAAAAAAGACGCGGTTCGCGGGAATCACTCACGTTGTTGTACGTAAAAATGTGGACAGCGGCCACACACGAGTTGTCGAATGCGCGAAAGGTCAGCCGCGCGAGTTGAAAGTGTATCGAGCGTGCGACCGCGGCCTCTCTCGAAAAACCAGTGTGTCCGCAATTTTACAAGTGTTATTCACGCGCGATTTTTTTGTTTTTTTTTAGTGGCGAATGTTACAACGACGAATGTAAAAAAGCCGTAACATGCCGATTAACAAGAAAAACCATCAATCACCGATTCTTGAATATTTAACACTCGACATTCGAGAGAGAAAGTAGGTACCTTTGACAATTGTAAAATTTTGAAAACGCGCTATTTCCTCTTTTTTTTCTTCAGAACTGGGAACAAACTCGAGAGACACTCATATATATCGAGAGTCACTTTCGATTCTGCCGGAGAGTCGTCCGATCGCGCGAGCAGAACTGCTCCGTTGAGCAGCGCGCGCTTGCGCGCAAACTTCGAGGACGGAATGCACAGTACGCTACCTGTTGTGCGTCGGCCGGGTCGCTCGGTCGCCTCCGGTGTTGTATTGCCCTCGTCGTTCGCGCTTGTACGTGTGTACGCATAACACAGGTCACAGGTATATATCGGCGAGAAACGACCTGGCCGAACGGATGGGACGTATGTTCGTTTGTTTGTTGCTCGTCGCGAAGCCCGAGGCGTCCACGCCGGAGCGTCGTCGCGTTCTCGCTCGACGCTCGCTTGTTCGCACCGCCGCCGCCACCGCCGCCGCTGTGCTTCTCTCGCAGCACAGCAACCTTGTACGCAGGTGAACGCAGCCGGTCGCTCGGTCGGACGAGCGAGCGAGCGAGCAAACAGGCCGCTCTCTGTAGCGGCGCAGGTTGGCGGGTCACTCTCTTGTGTACCGGGCCGGGACACGCCGCCGTACGCCGACCAGGTGCATTCTCGCGTCCCGCTTGCCCGCTTTCCGCCCTATACTCGAGCACGAGAGAGCGCGCGCTGCGGAACGAAGCGGTTTGCGAGAGAGCCGCGCGGGTTATGCCGCGTTATGTCACGTAACTCGCCCGCGATTAAGTCGCACGATTCCTCCTCCTTTCCTATTATCGAACACGTAGGATGATTTCTTTCGCGATAGAGTAGGTGGAAATGATTACGTGTAATTTGCGCGCAGGGCAAAATGTGTCGGGATTTGCACATACACGATCGCGACGTTTATCGAATTATGTATATGTAATTTCGAAAGCGGTTTATACAAGCGAGGAGATATATTTTTGTTTTTGAATACATGAATCGCATACTGCCAAAGTGATCAACATATATCGTCAATGACGTTAACCGCGACCTCCCGGCGGTAAATGGAAAAGGTTAAAGGACAAGTGCCCAGTGGGCAATCTAAAAAGCAGAAAATTCGAGACCGCAATAAAAAAAAAAAAAAGGAAAAAGATGATATATTGCGACGTGAGGAATTTTTTGCCAACCCTGGAAAGTCAAAAACTTCGGTAGCCAATGAGAACAAGCAGTAAAATAAAGATCATACAATAGAAAAACTGCAATAAAACCGAGATGTGTGTCAGACTCTTTCGGAGCACAAAGAAAAAAAAATATAGCCAATCCCGCCATGTTACCTGTATTGCGCATTTTCGGGCTGTCGACTTTTCTACGTGAACAAACACGTTCGCCGTGACGCGCACGGATAGTGGCTTCTCTCTTGGTGAACGTTGTTACAGGTTATGTCATGTAACGCGCGCGTCCGCGATGACTTATCGGCCGACGGCGTCGAGGTCGTCACGATTGAGAATAGGTCGAACGAACACGGCCACGGATTAATGTCGAGCTCCGAGGAACCTTTCTGCCGCGTTATATTTCGAATACGTCACGTTCGACGAGAACAATGAAAAAAAAAAAACAAAAAAAATTACGCCATTTTTTACAGTTTTAAAATAATATCCGTTAGTCTTCTTAAGTAACAGACGCCAGAGCGCGTATATAAGAAAAATAATTGTTCGCGTAAGACGTACATTTTTTTTTGTTTTGAATTTTTGGAACGTTACGTGTTTGCATACTTTTGCATTTTTTCCCGCATACGTAAGCGATCGGTTACCTTGTGCGCGCGATGAATCCGTTCTAAGGATCTTTCGAGCGTGTGCACGACGCGTTTACGTATCCTTCGCATTGTTCTTTGTGCGCGCACCGCAATCGACTAGCAATAGATCGTAACACCAGAGTGTGTTCTTTGCCATGCGCTTGTTTATGCTCTTATCAGTCTGATAGATTACAGATTTCCGTCGAATGCGTTGTCTTAATCGCAGGTCTGACGCGCTTTTGTCGCAATCATCGCGAAGCAATTTTTAAGGTCGTTCGTATTTTTCTCTCGGAGTCAAACGATATTATTGATTTTAAGCCAGGGTTTTTTTCTTCCGCGACACTCAAACAAAAAGAAAAAAGTAAATAATTACAAAATATAAATGAGCAAACACTAAACCATTCGAACAAAAGAAGCGCTTCTTTTTCACATTATACATTTGTTTTTGTTTTCCAATAAGTTTGCCTTCTCCATTAGCCGGAATATTTTTCCTCAGACTTGACTAATACAATGTTAAAATACGCAGAGATATCGGAGTCCTTGGCTTCTAACCTTTCGAATGGTCATTTCATCTCTAAAGACTTCTCGGAATCGGGTATATACCCACACAAAGATGAGGAGAATAGTCATCGTCGAGTAATTATGTCTGTAACACACAACGACACGGTCTCTGTGGCAGGTAAAGGTCGCTTGCGTGGATCCGAAGGTTACTCTCCTCTCCAACAGCTTGCCGTTTCTCGATCGCATCGACACAGATTTATTTCTTTGCCCCACCCGACGGGGAATCGCGCGTTGTTGTTTGTCTACCGTCTGCGGGGCGCGCGTGATTCTTTCCCAAAAGTGCATATAAGAAAAATAAAGAGAGAAGGAAAGAAAAAGAGAGAGAGAAGAGAGAAAGAAAGACGTGGATGTGTGCCCACACACACACGCACGCACACACACACAAAGGACATCCAAAAATAAAATTGCACACGTAGAGACACGTGCGTAACTCCCGAAATCGACACAACGCAGCTTTGTTCGATAAAAATTCTTGTACATTGCGTGTTAACATTACACCCGTGTTTTGTTCCCGTGCCACAAGGTGGTCCCGCGGTTTATTGCCCAACTGTTGAATATGTATTTGATATATAAATATACATTACCCTCCGAGTATTGAATATGATAGACGTGATTAAATTGAAATGTCAATGATAGCGAGCGATCAAATATTGTTGTCTTCCTAAATTTTCTACAAACGGACCTTCCAATCGACCATGACATTTTCCACACGCAATTTAGTTAAAAAAAAAAAAAAGATGGATCTGAAACTTCTATTGAAAAATAGAATCATTAGATCTTTGTCCGTAAAATATGTCCGCGGACCATCCTTTACACGAGAACGTTACGTCATACAGCGCGAACGTTACGGGGATATTTATTCGCAGTTCTAGAAGTTCGTAATAAAAACGCTCTCTCACAAGATTCGCTCTTGTGTCACCTTCGTACCTTCGACCTCGGGGACGAGACATCGCGGGCATTAAAATAACTCGACGAAAAAGCGCAGCAAAACCGTCCGTTCGAAATAACTCGCTCGGCAAAAAACCGCAGCAAAAAGACGGTGGGCGAAAACGACAGGAAGCCTTCTTTATACACGCTGACATCAACTGACCAATGTACACTTATCAACAATGACGCACTCCCGGACTTGATCAGATCCGATGGTTGTGTGTGATCGCACTGAATTCTCGTTTTTCGCTCCAATCGCGCCGAACGCGAATTTCGGAAATTCCCGAGAAAGGAAACGCACCGAACGTGTTCGCTTGATTCGAACGTTCCGTGTCACATTTTTTGTCACATCAACGACGACCGACGCGAGATTCGCGACGAATGCTTCCTCCGTCGGGGGAAACTCCTCGATAAGTCGGAAATCGTTGCGAACGTGCGAAACGAAACGGACGCGAAGACGTGGACGCGAACAGGCTCGCGCAATTTTTAGGCGCGTCATCCGCACACTCCGTGCACTCCTGCGAGAGACGGATCCCGGAGAAAAAAGAGAGAGAGGAGCGTGCAATCTGGGAAAACTCACCTTTACAGCCAGCAGCGATGACGACTGATCTGACCACGCGTCATCAGGAACGTTCATAGCGGACTCTGGCTACCAGGCGTTGTCATCTACTTGCGGGGGGAGGTTAAAGTTCATAACCTCTTCTAACCTTTACCTTTTCGCTGTCTCTTGTCCCCCTGCCCCGCCCCGCCCAGCTCCCGCCCACCACCTCGCTAGCACCTTCCTGCCACCCGATGAGCCCGACGAATCTCCGTTGTGTCATCGAATACGCATTCATCGCAATCGGCATATAGATCGACGAGTTCCTGAGCGTTTCGGCTGTCGCGACGCGCAGCGCCACTTGCGACACACGCGCCAACTACCAAAGCGGGAAATTTGAAAAAATGAACATCTGATTCTTAATCAGCTATGATCAAGTTTGCAATATGTTATAGAGATAATATGTGTATAATATTTAATATAAACTTGTAATATATTTTAGATACTTAAAAAATGTATAAAAATAAAATAATGTATACACACGTAGAAAAAACTTTGATGTACCATGAATCGAAATATATATCCAAAATATAATTTAAATTTTAAAGGAAAACTAAAAACCAAGTGACGGGAAGAGAGAACCGTGCGAAAATTTAAAGTATGAAAAAATTGATTTATTGTAAATAATATTGTACAGTATATGTGTGGGGTACATACACATGAAGCAGCCTTCGTTGGTCTATTACGAAAGCTTAATCGCTAAACATAATATGACTACTACTGCTAGTATCACTACTGTCCGTTGCTAATTATACAATCCGCACTCATTTCAACCGCATTTTCTTCACCTCCTTGTTCCTTGTCTCTTTTTCTCTCTCCGAAGCTCAGATATATACCTATTTCAGATTAAGCGTAAAAAAAACGCGAGAAAATGCGGATAAAACGATTTTGTGTGTGTCTTAGGATATATTTTGAATCCTCTTAGATATCCTGTTTTCTGTTATACAATGACTGGTGCATTGTATATTAGTTATGCAATATACAGGTAAAAGCGATAGTATAATTATAATACATAATTTGTCAAATAAAAATATATCAAAGCCATAAAAAATTTAAATAACGCATTCCATTAACATAACGTGACATAAAATTTTGGCGATTAGAAATATATTCTTATATTTATACAATTGCATCTTGACTACAGTCTAGTATACGCGAGTTAAAATTAGAGTAAATATTCACACAAACATACATACGACTGTCACATTGAACAAATGTATGAATATAAATATACATATACATATATATCGACTGGCATTAATTGTAATCTTTAGTTTAAAAAGCTCAGAAATAATACAGTATTATTTTTATATCGTAGTATAAATATATTTCTTGTATGTAATAGTTAAAAAGATTTCAGATACTCCTGTCGCGCTCTGATAACAATGAAGTTTTTGCAAGTTTGGTGCATTATATTATTGCGCGCATATTTTACATAAACATTGCACATATCGAGAGATAATTAACCCTTAACCCACATTTCCTATGTAAAGAATGTTAGTCAGTTAAAATAGTAAACATCTATTTTTGTGTTGCGTGTATGGACTTGACGGCGAGAGATCAATTTTTCAATGTACAAAACTTAATAATTAAATTGCACGAGAATTCAATGTATATATCTCTATATCTTCACACTGCACATTGTTATTATATATACATGAACACTTTTTTGTCAATATGTCTTAGCACTGCGCGCTAAAAATAATAAAACACACAATTGTGATGTAAGGAGATAATTTTTCACTATCCTAGTTTCGCAGGAACTAGACAGAGTTAGAGATAGAATTATAGTAGCTCTTCTTAAAAGCACGGAGTTTGGAACCGAAACAAATAAGTTTGAGTTCACGTAGCTTTCCATACATTAGAAAAAGATATTCAGTTGATCTACTAAATATTTTTTCTGGATATTCAATATCCAATTGAAATATCCAAGAAAAAAATATTCTTAGAATATAAAATTACTGTATGAGTCCCTTTTGGAATTAGGCCATAAATTTCCTCAACTTTACAAAAAAAAGAAAAGGATCGGTCATAAAATTCTCAACTTTTATAGCTGTCCTTTTTTTTTTTTTAGCAAAGACAAACATGTAAAGATGAACAGAAATTCTTGCAGGTTTAAGAAGAGCTACTGTATATACTAATCAAAACTATAAAACAGAATGATCGTTCTGTTGATTTGGTAATCACATTATGTCCATTTTGATTTCGATTTTTAGATGTTTACATAACAATAATATAAACATTATATATAAAAACTATTGCAATAATGATTTATATCAGTTTTAAGCAGATAAACAGAGAGAGACAGACTTATCATCTAAATTATTTGTAAGAGAATAATCCAGTCGAACATAAACCATATTTGAAACTCATTATGATCACGAACGTTGTTAGAGCGTACTAATCACTCGAGCAAGAGGAAGAGAGGAGAGAATTTATACTCTCTCATCCTCTCATCACCAAATAAACACATAAAACTTTGTAATATATCTATATCTTATACCGTTTTATGTAGCCTACCACCACTAAACTTAGCAATTATCGTTTGTGTTTATATTAATAGTGAACTAAGCAAAGATAATTTATCCGTATGTTAGAGAGATAAAAAGAAAGCACCGCAATTTTTTATATATAGTTCCAAATATGATTGTTCTGTCAATTATTCCAGCAGGTACCATCAGTTGATCACAATGATTCTGCACATTTAATTAAAGGCAGATGGAGTTGCTAGCAGATCTAAATTTTTTCTCACAAAATTTTACATAAATATCTATCAAAGTATTGTTAAGTGCCCGGGAGGTATATTTGTTTTTTATCTGCAATTTCAATTAATATTACATTTATAGTTTGTCTAATCTAAGAAATCTGACGGCGTAAAAATTAGATGTTTCATAATTACTTGATTTAAAGTAGTAAAGCTCGGGGTTAATGATGCAGCAACTCTCTTGCACATTCCGAACTGCCAAATACATCCTGACTAGCAAATGTAACATAAACAAAACCATCTGAATCTCGTTCTTGCTGATACAGTTGACCCATAGTCATGCTACAGCTTGCAACACATCTTTGGTTTACTAGTAGGAAGATTGCTTGTGTTGGATTTAGTTGTAATCGGCGCCTGTTTTTATCACGACAATCATGTATTACTTTACAGTTCGCAAAATATGTGTACAAAAAATATGAAAAAAATATAATGTATAAAAAGTATGTTGTAGATATAATATAGACACATACCTGATTATTACGAGGAATTCTGCTACGGTTAAAAAATCCGGTAACAGATACTTATTCTTGTCCAAAAGTGGCAATTGTCTTTCGCACTTGTAACGTTCCACAATCACAGGAATTTTATTGGGATATTGCCTTCTGATTTCCAATGCAGTGGCATATCGTTGGTCTAGAGTAACAAAAGAAAAAAAATTAAGTTAACGAGCAAGATTAATAAATTTTTTCGGACTTAAAAACAAAGTTTTTCTCGCGTAGTTTTGCATAATATTACACAACATGAAAATATGTTCACAAAAATAGCGAGCCTGTTCTTTTATCGTTCACGTTGATTTTTCAAGATGACGTAAATGCGATTCAAACCAAGAAAAACAGAAAATTCGCTGGTCATATTCTAAAACGTTTATGACTGTGAAATCACAATAGGTTGCATCGGCTCAGATTCATAAGCGCGTATCAGCGCCGAGTCACTCCAAGTAAAACAAGATTCAAAACTATTCATTTTTTTTCACATGTTAAATAAAACTAAATTTATTTTCAATATGTATAAACATTGTAAATAAAATAAAATGAGAGAAAATAGCGCTTAAAATCAAACTTTTAACAAAATGTAAAACCGACGACATTACGCGCGCGCACATGAACATTGAATTTTGATATTAAACTTCGGTATACTATTCAACTGTAATGTACTCTATTAAAATATTATTTAGCGATTGTGAAACAGCTTGTGTGTGCAAGTGTACTTTGCGATTTAGAATCTTTAAAAAAAAAAAACATGAATGCAAGATGATTCGTGCTTATAGCTGTTGCGTGAGTTGAAGAGAACATCTCGCATAAACTTCGACAATTACTCTCGCTACATTTTACGCTCTTCAATTTATAATTGAATATGCGCGGAGAGCAAAAAAGACTTCGGCCTCGCAGCTGCGTTGCGCGTAAACTTCGAAGAACACACGAGAGAGACACTTACCGTGTGTCTCTCTTGATAAAAAAACATTTGAAAAATTACTAAACGTGAGATGTTCATTTGCAATTTGTATAAGAGAAGAAAGAATGCTTATCGCTCAAACATAATTAGATAAATGTTTTCTTTAATAAACTTTCTTAACAAGTGCACACACAAGCGTTTCTTGCTTATCGGAGGCTAAACAGGATAATTAATCTTTTTTTTATCTCACTATTGTATTTCATAAAAATAACAAAAATTTCTCGAAAAAAATATGTCGCGCGAGAAGAAATCTTTCCACGAGTTCGAAAAATTATAACAAAAACTTAAAGTACGGACACTTGTTTTTCACTTTTTGTACATGCACGCTCACTATTTGCAAGATAACTTACCAAACGACTCAAATGATTTTTTAGTGCTAAAGTGAAGTAACTTCATTTTGTAAAAATTAGACTAAAATATTGCAATAAGTATGGAGAGCGAGTTTTGGTCACGTTTGTTGGTCGCACAATTCGAACTGCTCAGGTTGATCGCTCGCAACGAACTAGTGGCCAAAATTTAGTTTTTGGGTCCCGTAAACGAATTTTTGGGTACCTTTTCCCTTACCACGACGCAATTCTGACTTTATCTTGATTTATGACTCTTAGGTAAAAATTCTTAGGTACGGAAATATCTCGAGAATAATAGATACAATAGGTTTACAATAGATTTAACTTTCTCATACCTGTCCCTTTGAAACCTTTTCACCCGTGAAAAAAAAGTTCATATATCACATTATTACAATGCTCATTTTTATCGCATCGAGAGTTCTAGACATTTATGGACATTTTATGAGGATTTTTTGTTCTGTACGAACTACTACGTTAAGCAAACTAACTGCACTTACCGAAGGTACGTTTTTCTTTGTATGATCTTCTAGGTGTAAGATTCATGTTTGTTGTTAACGTTACGACGGACTATCACCTACTGCAACGTATGTGACGCGCTATCAGCTGTGAGTTCGCCTCTCAGATGAGTCAAAATAACGCTAGGCTACACAGCGACGCTTGTACGAGACTCGTCGGATTAGGTTAGGTTAAATCGGACGTGTTCGCACGACACACGCAACTTCGATGCTTCTCAGCTGCGTATATATATATATCACGCGTGATAAGAGGTATCGTCACCAAGATACTGCTGCAAAACACAATTGTTTAAATAATATTCACCTCCAACCTTTCCGAAAAAAAAAACATCGCTCATACAAACGACGAAAGATTTGCGCAAAAATTTGGAAACGTATCCTTGGAAACAAACTTGTGCTTAAATCAGCTCATCTTTTGTTATGCGCAAGCACGTGTGTGCATTAAGCCATTCGTCCGATCAGCTGCGCACTTTCATTGCGCACGTGCACGTCCAAGAATCATATGGCCTGCACATGTGCATTTTATACACTCGGTATACCTCTCTCCGCTGATTTCTTTTTCCTTCTCCCTCTTCCGGCTCTACATCAAATCTATTCCGTTGTAAGTGTGACAGGTAATCGAGCAATCATTGGAAGCACAGATTGAAGTCGCCGTTGTTCGATTAAACTTTCTGACTCTGACAAAAATACCGATGTACCAATAATTTCAAGTTAAAAAAAAAAAGAAATAAAAAGAAACAACCGCATTTATTATTAATCCCGGAGTCGCGGGACTGATTAAGACTCCCCATCTCGCGCACGAGAAGCGATCGAGTCGATATCGCGTCGGCAAGTGTTGCCCTCTCGCGTGCGAGAAGCGCTCTTTGGCCTCGACGACAGCGAGCGAATTCGCATTGTTCGCGGAACGCGCAACAACGATGCGCGTCTTTCGTCATGAAGCACGAAAATCGCACGCGAGGCGCTTCACGAATAAGACGATGATGCCCGCGGTGTCACGTGAAAATCGAAAAGAGAATCCCGTTCCCTTTAACGCAATTGAATAATAATCGTCGTGCGATCGTCGTCGCGTGGTTCGGATATATAATTGTCGTTCGAACGCGATCCGTGGGGGAGATGCGACACCGAGGGTCTCGCGTTCGTTTTCGCACTTACGTACGACCGTCTATGTGAAACGACGCGATCCGCGGCGTGTGTTGCGCTGTACGTCGCGAACGGCGACGGCGGGCGGTGCGGAGCGGTACGCTGTGTACACATACGTAACGAACGTCGTGTGCGCGCGGGACAACGACGGACGGTGTGTGGCGTGTTGTCGCTTGTACGTGTTGCTGCGCGCGAATGCACGCGTGGGAGTGTGCACACGAGCGAGAGAAGGACAAGGAAAGAGAAAACCGAGGTGGCGAGACGTTTTTCCGGAGGACCGGCCTTCTCTCTGTTTAGCGTGCGTAGGACGACGAGACGTCTCGGCTCCGGACCGAGAGAGAGAAAGAGTCACGAGTCAATCTGACAGACGACAACTGTTTGATCGCGTTGTGTGTATTGCGAGGATAAGCGAGCCGAGAACTCGAGAGTTCGGCGTGGTTGTGATCGCCGAGAGGGAGGGAAGGAGAGGCGCCTCTCTCTCTCTCTCTCTCTCCGCTACTTGTGCCTCATTACGACTATTGCTGTGCTCTTCTGACTGATATCTCCGGCGATAATAACCTACGGCTGCAAAGATCCTTGAATTGCTGTGTTAGATTTATTTTTCAAGTTCGCCGGTATGAACACATATCTCCATACTTTGGCGAACTCCAATGGCTCAAGATAAAACACAGGAGAGCCCTGTTCATTGGCTGTTTAACCTATAAAATATTAGACACTCACAGACCTCAAGTGATATATAATACCTTTGTCTTTCGTCAAGGAGAAAGCTACTATAACACCAGAGCTTTAAAGCTTGATTTAGTCCTGCCTCTGGCTCGAATAGAGGTGTTCCGACGATCGTACAGATGCGTGTCCGTTGATATATGGAATGCAATACCGGCTGATATCCGGGGGGAACCTTTCGGCTTATTCAGGAACCGATTCTACAAGCACCTGCTTGTTAATTCTTAATCTTGTCTTTATTTTTGTACTTATTTCTATTATTATTGCCTACATCTAATTATGTGTTCCTTTGTATAAATTTTATTTTATTTTATTTTATTTTCGTTTCATTTAATTTAATTTCATTTTATTTCATATTATTTTTATGTTTATTTTTATATCTATTTTATATTCATACTACTTTTGTTATTATTTTTATATATATTGTAATTATTGTTATCGTTACATACCTTTATATGCTAAATATGTATATCATTCCTGTCTGTAGCGCTTGAGGGGATTCCATCCCAGAGCGCTTTAAAAATATAAGCTACTATCTATCTATCTATCTATCTCCGAAGAACACCTGTGCGCGCGTGCGGCGTGTGAGGATCGCTCAGTTCCTTCCGTAACGGTCGGTCGGTGTCTCTGTCTCTCTCGGCCGGTACGACACGACGGACAGTCGCATCCCGACACCGCTGTTCGCCGGTGTAGCACGCTCGCAGGCAGGCAGGCAGGCAGTGAGGAGCATGCGGGAGAAGAATCGGTCGCCGGAAGCAGCAGCGGTCGCGTCGAGCTGCCGTCCGTAAAAAAACCGTAAAGATCCGTCCGCCGCGTATATATCGCCACCGCGAACAACGTGCGATCTTTCTCTCTCTCTCTCTCTCTTTCCCCTCCTATTCTCTGGGGCATTAACACGAGGGACCGTCCGTCGCGCGTTTCGGAGCAGCGTGTGTCGACCTACAAGTGTATGCGTGCTTTTCTCGTGCGTGCGTGTTGCTTGTGAGTGCGTGCACACGCCTGTCCGTGCGTGTTCTCTCCGCGCCGGATATCAACCCCGGTGCTTGGTCGTCAACAATCTCCTGCGGGACACATACATACGGAGGGGGTAGAAAAAGAATAAACATGGTGGCGGCGTGAACGAGAGAGCGAGGGGGAGCGCCGAAGGGGAGCGAGACAGACGGGCAGATAGACAGAGGGGGAGGGAGAAGCGGACTGATCGAGTCAGTGCGCCAGAAGCGGTCAGAAGCGACGAATTCGACCAGCGTTGCTCCCTTTGTCCGCGCGCGCTTCGGGAAGACCTTTTACGAGAAAAAGAGAGAGACAAAGAGGAAGATATAATCAAGATTGGAATTGTGATCATCTCTTTCTCCGCGTGCGACGATCGGATTGATGCCGACGACGGGACGACACTACGTTCGCGCAACCGTCATTGTCGAGGCGCGGTCCGTTCGCGGTTTCGATTTTCGTGCGCGCTGTCAACACGCTCGCTGTTTGCCGTCCGGCAAACGATGTCAAAACGAGGAGGTTCTCGAGGTGCCCGCGACGTTTCTAATCAGTAGAACGACGCCGCCGCGGTGTTTGGAGTGATATGTCGCTGCCAGCAACAAGGGCCTGCATGATTCGTCAGAATCGGTGACAAAAAGCACTTGTTTTTTTTCGATACATACACACACACACGTAACAACAACAACAACAACAACAACAACACGAATCAAATTGGATGAAGAGTAAGTACAGATAAAAGTGTTCGATACGAGAGATAGGAAGCAAAAAATTGATTAAAGAGTTAGTGCGAGTATCTGTTGCGATAAGAAAAGAAAGGAGAGACTATCAGCGACTCTCTTGTGTGTGTCGGCGAGGAAGTGCGTATCGGGTGCGTGACTCGGCTCGAATCGTGATCGAAGTGTGTTTGTGTTTACATAATGTGATCGGTGAGAAACCACGGATGTAAAGGTTTTGACTCGTTCGGCAAACAAGAATCGAAGAATCGAGTTTCGTGGCTCTACGTTGGGCAAAAGGCGTGAAAACAAAACGTCGTCGTCTCTCGCTCGCGAGGTGAAGAGAATCGATCGGCAGGGGCGAGAATCGGCAGCGGCAAGAATCGCTCGACGAAGGGCGTGAAAGAGGTGCGGGGTTGGCCGAGGGGTAAGCTTTTCCGAGGGCGGTAATAGATATTTTCGGGCGAAGAAGAAGAATGGAACAGCGGCTGCGGCGGCGGCGGCGGCGGCGCAGCAGAGTCGTCAAACTCGTAGCGGCCCGGTGCCAATAACCTCCGTATTCTGCCAGCCAACCAACGGAGGTTGGTAGCCGCTTGCTCACGCGGCTGCGATGATGCGCTCGCCCTCGTCGCGCGCGACAGATCATAAAATTAGAAGACGTTCGAAGGCCCGCGCGAGCGAGCAGCAGGCCGAGATCGTTGGCGCCGGCTGACGACGACGCTCGTGCACTGTGTGAGTGTGAGACAGTGTGTGCGTGACGAAAGTGCTGCGGTTCCACAGTTCCTTCCTGTGTCTCGCTCCTCCGTTCGCGGCTTCCGCAACCTCCGTTCTATTACGCGGCCGCCGATCGGAGGAGAAATCGATCGAACGTACGAATGTATCCGTAATCGATCCGCGCCGTCGAGGCACGCGCGACTAATAACACTATACTCTAGTCCGCTGCATTTACACGGCCACGAGGATATAATTAGAGGAATTGATCGCACGTCCAACGCGGAGTGCAAATCGCCTTTGACGGATTGGGGATTGCGTCAGGCGGGCCATTTAACCGAGAGAGCATTTCGAATTCCCCCGTCCCGTGGAAGCTGGCCGGCTCCAGTTTGTTGTTCCAGATTGCTCCAGAAACCGAGACTGACGCGTTCGCGCGCGCAGTTCCTATATATAGTCGATTTAATTTATTTCAACTGTCGTTGTCGTCATCATCATCGTCGTCATCATCATCTAAACAGCATGTCTCTCGTCGAGCTCGGACAATCCTTCGACACTCGCGCCGAAAGCGTGAGAATCACAACGAGGAACGCAAAGAGACACTGATTCGGTTCTCGATGACGAGGCTCGACGAGAACAGATAAAACACGACAGACGCGAAACACAAATGACCAGTTTGGTCCTGTCGGTGGCGGCAAGCAGGATCGAGATGCCCCTCTCCAAATCGAATCCGTTCGTGCCGGCGAGCGCGATCTCGACGCAATCGTACATCTCGAGCAGCGAGAGCAGCAACCACCTGCCGCCGATCATCAAGGGCACCGGGCTGACCGGCAACCTCAAGCAGACTGGCGGCGGCGGTGGCGGTGGCGGTGGTGGTGGCGGTGGTGGTGGTGGTGGAGGCGGAGGCGGCGGTGGTGGCGGCGGTCGTGGCAGTGGTGACGATGACACGACGGTGCTTTATCCGGGCTACCAGAGACTACCACTTTCCACTACGTGGAAAGGCGAGAACTTCGGTCTGGGTCATTGGCAGAGTCACAATTCCAGCCACAATTCGCACTCGCAACCCAACAGTCAGTCAAACAGTCCGGTGGTGAGGAACGGTCATCGTGCCGATGGTAATTCCAACAGCGGCGGTGGTGGACGCAGCGGCGGCGGTGGCAGCGGCAGCGGTGGCGGTGACAGCACCGGCAGCTGTACAGGCGGCGGCGGTAGCAACAACAGCATCGTCAGCGTAAAGCCTAAGACGGCGGTCATCACGCCGGAGATGGTAATGAAACTGTACATGAACAAGCTGACGCCGTACGAGCATCACGAGATCTTCAACTACCAGCAGATCTATTTCATCGGCGCGAACGCGAAGAAACGGCCGGGCATTATCGGCCGGCCGAACAACAACGAGTATGACAACGAACAGGGCTCGTATATACATGTGCCGCACGACCACGTGGCGTATCGTTACGAGGTGCTGCGCGTAATCGGCAAGGGCTCGTTCGGTCAAGTGGTCAAGGCCTACGATCACAAAACGCACGAGCACGTGGCGCTCAAAATGGTGCGCAACGAGAAGCGCTTCCACCGCCAGGCGCACGAAGAAATACGGATATTACGCAAGCTGCGCGAACAGGACAAGGACAACACCATGAACATCATCCACATGTTTGACTCGTTCACCTTTCGCTGCCACATGTGCATCACGTTCGAGCTGCTCAGCATCAACCTGTACGAGCTCATCAAGAAGAACAACTTCAAGGGTTTCAGTTTGCAGCTGGTGCGCAAGTTCTCGCACTCGCTGCTGCTCTGTCTGGACGCGCTCTACAAGAACAAGATCATACACTGCGACATGAAGCCGGAGAATGTGCTGTTGAAGCAGCAGGGACGCAGCGGCATCAAGGTAAATATAAAGACATGTTTACATATAATTTTTTTTCATTTGTAGTGAAGAGAAACCCAAACCCAAGAATATAAAAACGTTAACCGAATTCTGTTTACTTAGAAAATAAATTTCTGTTACACGCGTTAACGAGCGCAGTGCATTTCTCTAACATTTTTCTAACATAACGGAAACAAAGAATGTCCGTGAAATATTCTAATAACATGTATCGCGAAGATATCATCGATCTACTTCTCTTAGCGATATCAATTAATACGTCCGCAAAGGACGTATAATCGTATTGCTCTGTGAGGAAGTTCATGAATTAATTCCCAAAGACCAATATTTCGGTCAGCGGATTAAGCTGTGGTATCTCGCCACTGCGTCAACCGCGAAATGCTCTGCACTGAATTCATGGAAATGTGAATAGTCCGGGCAAAGCGGTAGGATTGCTATAAATTGTGTGCGTTGCACAGAGCGATTAAAGGATTTAATGCAACAGCGATCTGAGATTCTTTTAGAACTGCGGGAAATTAGATCCGAAGAGAGAGTTGAGGAAATTAAGTTTCAATTGATTTCTTCCAAATCTTGAACAATACGGAATTTAAAAAAAAAAACCTTTCGCGTTGCATATTCCGTCTTTTTTTTTAAACATAATATTACAGATGAACAAAAATGTCACTGCGAAATATTTTATTTGACAGACATCGGTGCAAGTAAAAACCGAGTATTTTTTAAACACATTATCTTTATATTTCTGTGAAAAAGATAAAGAGCGTGCGAAATAACTTTTCTACGCGCCGTGAATTAATGATCGCCGTCCGCGCTTCTGTCAACTGATATTTTTTGTGTCGCGATCGAATTAGTTTTTTTTTTTTTTTTTTTTTTTTTTTTTGATTAAAATCACAACGCTCGCTCGACGTTACTAAATTTGTTTTTGCAACGAGACCGTATCTGCTATATCGTATGTTTGAAAACAAAAATTGACACTCGTGGCACCTGTCGCTCGTCTCACCCGATACGCTCGTGTGTGATATACGCGCTATTCCCGATAATATTTGTAAAACACGATCTCGAGTTCCTCTTGACGGCACTCACAAGGAGCTACTTATTATTTCTCGTAACGCGATCCTTTATTGACATTCCTTTATACGTTTTGCAGCACGCGGAAGGTTTTATTGGTGCTCGAGATGAGACACAGGTGACACGAACGGGGATTCCGGGAGATACGAAACTAGCAAAAAATGTACATACATATATTCTGTTCTCCATATAAATCGATATTACTTGTAGACGTTGTTCTTCCATAAATTCTCAATATTTTGCTTACGCGCAACACACAAATTTGTTTTCTATCTATCTTTCGTTCTCTTGTTTCGTACCTTCGCTTTCGTGCGGCCGTCTTCGCTCTCTTTCATGTGAAACTGAGCTCTCAATTAAGACTAATTGATATCCCTCTTCGGCGAGGAAAAACGTTTTTTATGTTCGCAATCTTTCGGTAATTGTTTCCCAACGAATTCGATATTGGATAAAATCGTACACACGTAGAAAATTCGCATTTCTCTTCTTTGCGGTAACAAACGCGTTGTTTGTTTTCGCCGAAATCGGTCGGATTCCCCGAACGCGCACGGTTAACCGACTAACCCGGAGAACGCGGCGAGGAAAACGATCTCCGGCAACGCGGATACACCGCAAGACGTTTAAAGCGTCGTGTTAAATGGACTCCGAAGCCTCGTTTAGCTCTAAACACGCGCTAAACGTGCTACACTTCTAAAACGATACGCGCGCACCGTATCGCCGCCGCGCACGATATTCGCAGCTTGCGCGCACAATTTGTCAGAACGAGGCAAATAATCATAAAGAGAATGATTTCTCTCACCGCTAATGCCGCGGCGTTCTCTGCTACCCGGCTATACGACGATAGATACTTAATAACGTGCATTTATTTACGATAATGAAAACGCGGTGTTTTCGCGCCAAACAGATGAGCAGAAATTCCTCAGCGATTCTCAAGCGGCGAGTTCGCGCGGGTAGAGTTTCATCGTTTGTTCGCAGATATTTCGCCCCATTACTGATAGCACTCTCGGGTTCCATTAACGCTTTTAACGGTAAACGGCAAAATATATTCAGGATATTGCGCGATTGCTCTTTATCGCGATTTGTGTGATTTATTTGTACATTTCTCTCACAAATCTAGTTTGTGCAAATTTTTTATTGTTTTCTTTTTTTTTTTTTTTGTTTTTTGTAATGCTGATTGGTGGACAGACTACTTCTGAGGTCCGACAGTGGGGTTATTTTTAGAACCGGTTAGGTCCGGTTGACGAGTGTACAATTCTGGTATCCCTCAATTTTTCTTCTCGCGGATAATCCCCTGTTATTCGGGTTACCCACAATGCTCGCAAAAAGTCCTTGGACGTTCTTCTCTCCCTCTTCCTCGTCGCCTCGGCAATGTACGCGCGAGAACACGCGCGTACACGCACGAAAGAAAGTTGCGAGTCGTATTATCCTCGCCAATAGTAACATTTGCACGCAAGTCGTCAACTTTTCGAAGCTAAGCTCGTTTAAGAGCCGGGTCGTGCGACCTTGCGAGGCTACGTGCCGGACGTCCCAACCTGCCCCATAAAGCTGAAAGGCTAAAGTGCTGAAAATGGAACAAATTAGATTTGCGCCTGCCCTTAACTAAATGGCCTATTCGGATTGTCTACGCTGCGAGAGAGTTTCGAGACCGATCGGGAGTGTTGTTATTGTTTTCGTAATACTTGATGAGGTAACCTCGTTATTTTTCCTTTGTTTCCAACCATGTATAATAATCGCGACTCAAGATCGACGATTTCGGAAGCGCGTTATAGAATTTTTTTTCACACACACACACTAACGCACGTTTCTCGCGAATGTTTTTTTTTTTATTTAGTAATTTTTTACTATGAAGGATCAGCTGATCAATCGTTGAAATGATGGGAAGGGTGTTACCGTCGGTGTGATTGATTATTGAGAAATATTATATAAAACATATCGGTCAGTCGAATGTGGTACCAAGGGCTCCGGCCGGTACAACCTTGACACAACGACTTCGATATCCGTCAGACGCGATTCGTCTTGATTGAAGGCCGGTTATCTAATTGTAAATGACACATTAGCGCACGCTTCGACGGCCTCGTTGTGCGCGTGTGTGTGTGAAAGAGAGAGAGAGAGAGAGAGCGAAAGGAGGCGTTTTTAACAAATATCTCTCGAAGTGTGAACTGAGACCGAATGCGGATACGTTGTGTCGAGATGCAAAATCGAATCGGTCACCGAGAATGCACAATGTGTTGGATTTCTTCCTCGGAAGACAAAAATATGTTACAACTCTGCTTCGTATCGAGTTCAAAGACGTTCCAATCTCGCACGCGATATTGTTGCAAAATAAGCATTACGTTTAGAGATAAATCGCAGAGAAGAATATAATCGTTCAGAGAGTGTGCGATCGAATTTTGTAGAGGCGGAAATTAATTTGCGACGGAACTTGCGGAACTGTTCGCGAGGTCGTACCGGATCGGATTATGAATATTCAAGATTGATGTGTTTGGTCGTCGCCCGTCGTGCTTTTCAAATTCGTCTATTCTAATATTTGAGTTTGTGACTTTTGTACGCAAACTCTCTCGCCCGGTGTTTCATCATTATCCGCACAGAGCATAATTGATCTTGCGTAAGAACATATGTTTTTCGGGGTCACGTATCATTGATTTTTCGTCACGTGGAACTCAGAACGTCGTTCGGCCATCCGGTCTCACGTTTCTTTCTCATTTTGCCGACGCAATTTTAAAATATATCAAATCGTGTATATTTATTAAATATATACATACTTTGCTCTCGTATCACGTTATGTGCAGTTAATTAATGTTATCAGAAATATATATGATAATTTATAATTGCAAATGCAACAAATTTAATATAGAATTAAACTCATCGATCAATTATTGTTGAATTGATGATAAAATAATATCAAAATCTGTGAATATATTTGTTAATAACTACACGAATGAAAGTGTTAATTTAATGCATTAATAATACAGTGAGTATATCGCTTCAATTTATTCTTTCGCGCTCTTCTCAAATATGCACCTTCGTTTTACGATTATAAAAGAAATATAAAAGAAATTACGTTTGCGTTTGAAAAATATATTTAATTATTACGTAGATTAGAAAGCGCACAAATGAACGTAAATAGAAAAGAGTTGAGTTTTTAATATCACATATTGCGCAGTATTTATAGCGAGAGAGATAGAGAAAGAGAAGAGTTTGCGAAACGTATCTAACAATTATAATTCAAGAACACGCGCGTTTAAATCTCGACGTACATATTATGCAGCACACAAAACATACACGCGCGCCCGCACACACCACACACACACACACACACATACATACATACGTACACAAAGCCGCAAATTCTATTTTAATGAGAATAAATGAATATCATGCCTGCGAATTACTTTTCCCATTGTTCACGTGTTTCCTATTGCTTGGATTGCAATGAATATATTCAATATCCTCTTGACGCTCCGAGAGAGTCTCTCAGTCTAACAGACGTTTATCATCGACTTGAATTAATTGGCAGACGAGGTGTATGATACATCACTTCCGTTACAACAACTTTCTAAATATCCAGTTAGATCGAGCTGTAATCGATTCTAGTATCGTATTCGAGAATGCGAATCGTTAACCTATATCTGATAAAATCAATACCCGTAACTTCAGGTTTGCAAATAAATAAAAACACGTTGTTTACAGGAAAAGACTAATATGTTAGTAATCGCGAAAAAATTTAATTTTTCTAGTGTTTTGGAATACATGTTGGTTGTCAGATCGCAGTATACGTACGACTCTCGAACAAATTTTAAAAAATGCAAAACTGCATTTGTAATGTAAATGTAGTTTTAAAAAAATATGACACTCACAAAATGTTGCTTTGCATTTCGATCGACGCATCATTCGTGTTACGAAAAATAATCGTGACATTTGCGCACAACACACTCGCGCAC